GTAGATCAATAACTAGATGTTCAAAAAATATCAATTTTTGAAAAATGTAATGCTGAAAATTTAAATAAATATAACATTATTACTATTTAAAGTTAGTACATAGGCTTACATGTACTCAATATATTCTGTGTGTAACATAATCATTATCACGCATCGGGTAGATCGTGAGCGATTAACTTGTACAAATGTCTACAATAACATAGCTTAATACAGGTCAGATGTAGATGTTTCTGAATCTTTTTATTGGTATATTTTGCTCAGACGTTGATATTTTTCATTATTCTGAATATCAAAAGGTAGACAGCATGTTCCAGAGAGCGCGCGCGGGGGTGAGAGAGGGGCTACTAATATTTCAATATGTAGATTATGCTGTTTAAAAATCATTCTTAGTAAATGACCCAATATATTCATCAAATCGTGTTTTTTAAGTACGTCAGCCCAAGACTGTGGCCTCGTTTTCCATGTGTATGCTTTAGGGCTGGGGGTGTCTTCTACTGACGAACAAAATAAGCATCCTGTTAAAAAGGCAACATATGTAATATGAATACTATAATATTAACCCGGCTTTTAAATAAAAAATGTATCAATCTATAATCATAATAATCTCAAAAAGGAGGAATTGTTTTCGCTCTGTGTTTAATGTATGAATAATTACGACATAATGATATGTTAAAAAGAGTAGTCATAGGATGTATTCACTTTGACAAAAAAATGACTTATAGGAGAGAACAATTTCCCGAAAAAAGTGACATCTAGAAAATAATTTTGTCCTGGAAGTCTTTCAGGGCAGGCCTGTCCTGAATTAAATTGTGATATTTCGATAGATTGGGATGTAAGGGATAATTCAAGATAAAAAAAAATTAGGGGCACCCTACCCTAGGGTTGAATTCACAAAAACACAGACCTTCACACACACAAAATAAGGAAACCTGTTTTTAGCCGGGCTTATTGCTCAAAGAGCAATAGCCGGCTTATGGGATCCTGTTCAACTTCCTGTTCAAGCAGGATGTTGACCCAATAGTCGCCAAATTAAACTGACGTTCTGAAATATAGTGTATCTACTTGTAATCGCTGTTGAAACAATTTATACTCATAATCTGATTAATTAAATGTGAATATAAACTGTACTGTAATTATTATTGTGCAGTTATCAAAAATACATTTGTTCTTAGTAGAGAACTTTTAACAAATTCCTACGCATAGCCTGGTTCCCTGTCCCTGTTTTTATTAGTCAGCCCGCGGGCTGACTAATTATGGTACGAAGAACTTCCAATGCGCTTGCGTGACCTGGAATTCTGGGAGGTTGTTCTGCAGTAAATCACTCCTGCTAATTTTATTTCAGTAAAATCAATATAGATTAAAAACCAACAAATCCATATTAAACACCACGGTAATCTGTAAATTCAAGTCAAACAGAATTTCCCGATGCTTATTTATATATAGAAGGTTTCAAACAGTTTACTGGTTCGCAGTAATTTAAATGGTTCGCATCTGATCATGTGTTCAGATACAGTTAGATGAATTCATTTCACCTAATAGATACATAGTGTTTGACGCGTCAATTGAAGCTCTTTAATAAAATATCTTGAAGGTATTTTACTTATGTATTTAAATCTACAGCACAAACATTGGTTTATTACTTATGCTATTTTTACTGCTTTTACTTTCGTTTTCACTATAAATCATTTCGATTCCGATGCTAATAAGCGGACTTATTAAGTCATACAACAGATACTTCGGAAAGAAAACACAACTGGCTAAGCTTGCTCGTTTGTTGTCCCCTGCTGAAATTAGAGGACACCAATTTCAGTCTGTCTGTCCGTCCATCTGTAGTTCTGTCTGTCTGTAACACTTTCTCTTCCCCACGATATCCCGTGAAGTCTTTGAGCTTTTGCAGTGAAATTTTACACAACACCTTATTTGGCCTATGGAAGACCCCTCATAATTTTGAGGTCAAAAGTCAAGGTATTTTAAAAATGCAGAAATTCTACCTGTTTTAAACACTTTTGTTTTCGCGAGATATCTCTGTAAGCCATTGAGCTTTTGCAATGAAATTTTATACAACAACTCCCTATTCATACTTCGGTAACGGTGTGACTGTGTGTAAAACTTTCATTTCCAGTCAATATCTCAGGAAGGTTTTGAGTTTTTGCAATTAAATGTCATAAACCATAACTCCCTATCCCCCCCCCCCCCCCGATCTGCGCATGTTTTTATTTTATCCGTAAGAGAGACAGATTCTCTGAATTAGCTTGTTTTTCATAAACTGTGACTTGATGATCTAGGTTGTGGCAATCATATTTATGGATTAATAGGTTTATTATAACATAAGAGGTCTGAAAAATGAATTTTTAGGTCTTAGTACTTAATGTTTGTTTTGTTTCAATTCTACTTTTTATAAAACTTTTATAAGCCAAATTCAGCTAGGTAAGTTAAATGAGGACAGTAAACAAACTAAAATAAAAAAAAATTAGGCTATACAAAGCTTACATGTTACCTGTTTGAATGAACAATAAATGGTTGGTTTTTTTTTAAATTCTAAAACGTACTAGAAAATGTACTGGGTATTTCAATAATTCTTTATTGATATTCTCAATCGAGGATTCAGCATGGCAGTTTAGGTATCGCAGGGACAAGGGTGTTTCCGTTTTCTAAACATAGTCAAGAGTGATTCAAACGGCGGCATGATAAACTCTAACAGGGGTGATACTGAAGCTTATTGGGCTCCGTTTTGTTAAAAATGTCATAATGTTCATACCCCCTCCCCCAAAAATCTTATAGATCTGATAATGAGATTGCAGATTTATAACTTAGAACTTCGAATTATGTTACGTGAATTGGAACTGAAATTTATATATATACTTTCCGTTCTTTTGATTTTGAGACAAAAAATTCAAGAATCTGCATGTACCAACGCTTCTGTGCCTATCCAGAAAAATATTAAGATGAGGTTTTAATTTTAGTGGCCAAATCTGCTATTGATTAAAAATTTGTTTCAATGCATTTTTTTCAGTTCTCTATATGATTATTTAAAACATTATCACAGAGAAGAAAAATCCACTAGTCTCGTTTTCCCCAGACTCTCGCTCTCGAGACTTTGCCTGACATAAGAGGTCTGAAAAATGAATTTTTAGGTCTTAGTACTTAATGTTTGTTTTGTTTCAATTCTACTTTTTATAAAACTTTTATAAGCCAAATTCAGCTAGGTAAGTTAAATGAGGACAGTAAACAAACTAAAATAAAAAAAAAAATTAGGCTATACAAAGCTTACATGTTACCTGTTTGAATGAACAATAAATGGTTGGTTTTTTTTTAAATTCTAAAACGTACTAGAAAATGTACTGGGTATTTCAATAATTCTTTATTGATATTCTCAATCGAGGATTCAGCATGGCAGTTTAGGTATCGCAGGGACAAGGGTGTTTCCGTTTTCTAAACATAGTCAAGAGTGATTCAAACGGCGGCATGATAAACTCTAACAGGGGTGATACTGAAGCTTATTGGGCTCCGTTTTGTTAAAAATGTCATAATGTTCATACCCCCTCCCCCAAAAATCTTATAGATCTGATAATGAGATTGCAGATTTATAACTTAGAACTTCGAATTATGTTACGTGAATTGGAACTGAAATTTATATATATACTTTCCGTTCTTTTGATTTTGAGACAAAAAATTCAAGAATCTGCATGTACCAACGCTTCTGTGCCCCAAGTCTCGAGAGCGAGAGTCTGGGGTAAACGAGACTAAAAATCCACTGGCTGACTCTATAGCTTTTTTTAAAAGCTAAACTTGTGCTTCGTTTACTCTGCGTCAATGCCTCGGCAATGATGAGACAGGGTACCAGGCTAAATTTTCGGGTGCAAGATGTTTCGGGACCACGACGTTTCGGGACCTGACTAATACGACGTTTCGGGACTAGCGACAAGACGGTTCGGGACTTGGGTAAAGACGATTCGGGACTTGGGTTATTTTTTTCGGGATCTCAACTAATTATTTTATTATGGTGATATAGCATATTATTCTAAGTACACATTGTACGTAATATCATATATACAACGAAACTTATGCGGAAATCGGAGACTGCCGTCAGTCTGACCACGTTTTAAAGTTTGTGTATGACAAAGATGCGCAGTTTATAAGGGGAATTGTGCAAGACTCCATACGAGACCGGAGCTACCAGGTTACCATGGTTACTGTAAGTTCATCCCATTTCTTTGAGATTTTTGGAAGAAAGAAAAGTTTTTTTTTAAAGTCTTTTGTTGTAAATCACGAAAAAATGCATAATGTACAACACGTTTGGAAGTATATAATTATGTTTTATCCTGCCTATGCAATAAATCCAGAACAAACCTCTTTCCGAATTTCCTTGACTGAAAGCGTCTATGCAATGTCTTAATACATAATAATAAATTAATATACAATTCTTTTTTCTCTCTCTCTCTCCACAATTTTCAAGTTTCCATGTAAACATGCTTTTTACTTTTAGTTTGGATAAACCGGAAGTAAGACAGTCTAGCGAAATTCTTAGGCACTTGGAGGTATAAAAACATCTTTTTCTTCGAGGGGACGGCATTGGAGCGGAACGAAACGGTACATATATTGATAGTAAGTTATATGTGAACGATTAATCGCGTCAAGTCTTCTGAGAAAGGCCCACAATACGTCAGACCCGAATTTGCCTCAAAAAGAGTGTCCTACCCTTCTTTTTTTATACATACACATACTATATATTTACATTAACTTCCAGTGCCCGTGGTTTTAGGTATGCTTTACCAAATTTAATGTTAAATAGAAATTATATCAAAACATGCACACCAATATATATACCAGGTATATACAAGTGTGCAGTTCACCATGTGACTGTAGGTAGCAGGGTACTATTCGTGCCCTGGAACCTCCAAGTCCACTACCTTGGCATATATAAGCATACTTGTAACTATAAAATCTAACTTTAGGCCCCAAGACTATAATGTAACTTAGTAAATTTATGGAACATGTTGATACAGGTTACAAAAATGTCAGCAAAACTGATGTACGCCAGAGTTGGATTAAGCATCCAAAGAGTGCGCCACCTTGTCAAACTAAGACGATGGAAGAACTTTTTCCTGCACCTGACAGGTTTATAAATTACAGGTATGCATTTATTATGACTGTTTCATGAATGGTGCAAAATATTAAAAAATGACAGTACCCCAAAAGGGAAAATATAAAAAATAGAGAAATAGCACATTTTTTATGGGCAATATACACTTTTTTCAATGGATGGAACTGTATCTCTCTGGTCGTCCATCCTAATTTTTTCAGACCAGCAAGCTGCAGATCTGCAGCTAGCATGGTGTATGTAAAACAATTCAGTGTTGTATTATGCTCCATTTTTCAACTTTTGTGAAAAATTACTAGGGCAACAAATAGGCCAGTCAATGATAGGGACAGGGAGTTCCTATATCAGAAATTGACAACTGTAGGGAGATTTTCAGGTTAATATATCTGGTGTTTTATTTTAGTGTCACATTGTTTACAAGTTTATTTTATTGTTACTTTTTTGAAAATTTAAACTGTGATAGGATAGAATGCATATACACACATGTATATATATATATAAAAATTCACAAAACACCTAACTAACTCATTACACCTGGACTTTGGACTTCAGATATTTAATGGCTTATTTGACATTGGACTGAAATTCTGACAAGATGTGCAGTCTTTCCATTCTTTTTGCTTTTTTTGTCTTTTACATGTTTAGTTTTGTTCTTGTCTCTTTTGTTTTTGTGTTGACTTTGATTTAAACTTTTAATTATACATTTATACTATCAATTTCAATTCAGTGTGAAGTTTTGCATCACGTCACAATCTTTTTTGACAGATGCATTCAGCGTAAACAATTCATGTGATTGATTAACTCATATTATCAACCTTGACACAGAAATAGTTTGTTGTACAAGCAAACAATCAGGGATTAGAAGAAAGTTCCAGTCGTAAAGCTTGCGGTTAGGAGGCGTATACTATTTACCTTGAATACATCTGTCAAACTAGAAGATCGTGACGTAACATAAAACTTCAACTCAACTGCAACCTTTAGTAAAATGTTTAAATATTATTCACCCTATTTCTCATATACTTAAAGGAAGTTATTTGTACATTCTTTTCACATGTATACATATTGAAATCCAAAATTTATTTGAAGTAGTGAATAAAATAAGTTTGAAAAAATATTTAACATATATACCAGTATTAAGAATTGGTGATGTAACTGCAATACAGGTTTATTGAGTATTTGTTGTCTTTTTCATTGAGGGTTTAATTTTTTGTTTAATTAAATCAACAGCAATGCATTGGATACTATCCCCCGAGTTGCCTGTGCCCACACTTGCAGTGCCTCTAGTTGAAGACCTCATCTCTAGCCAGGAATTTATTTCTGCAGAGAATCCAATCGCTTGGATGAAGCAAAAATTAATGATAAATGAGCAAGAAATCCAACAGGTAAAGACAAATGAGTTGCATAATGAATAGAATGTATTCTGTTTTATTATGAATGTTGTTTAAGTTTTAAGATTTTTGTCATGTTTTAGATTGCCTGTCTTACCACTGGTCAAAAGGAAAATTGCATGTGGTCATCTGTTAGGAAGAATAGATTAACAGCTTCAAACTTTGGTTGTGTTTTGGCAGCGATCAAGAGAAATAGGTATACTGGTAGTTTACATGCCTTTATATGTATATGTAATTATAAATGATACTTGTAAAAGCAGTTAATTATAAAATCAAAAATATTGAAAGTTTGCTCCTTATATAACAGATATCCTGTCTCCTTATACAAAAGATTATGCTCAGCTTATGATCTGTCAAAGAAGGATGCCATTATTTGGGGGACGTGCAATGAAAAAGTCGCAATTGAAAAGTATAGAACTTTTGGGGATGCAGTTGTAGAGCCAACAGGTTGGTATATTTCTTTCCTAAGCAAAATTTCAATTTCTTTAAAGCAAATAAAAATTGATGATAAATAAAAATTTTTCTTGAGCTAATTTATTTAAAATTCAGTTATTAAACTGAAGTTTAAGATAATGAATATAAATATACTATTTTTATGTTTTATTTATAACAAGTCATCAATGCATTAGAAAATCAGAGTGTTGCATATTAATGCTATTTTGTAACTTTATAATACTGTTCATATTAGGTATCTGGCTACACTGTAATGGGGTTCTTGGGTCAAGCCCCGATGGACTCATTCGTCATCCTGCTGCATTTGGATTCAGCTATCAGAATCCAGGACTCGCTGACATATTAGAGATGTCAAACGTTAAGCCAGAAATACTGGAGGTGAAATGCCCCTTTTCAGCAAAGAATATGACAATTCCAGAAGCTATTGAAAAAGTACATGATTTCTGCCTAGGTAATAATAGTGTATATGCATTTGTTTGAATATGTTTCATGTACTGAGATATTACTTTAAATAATTCCAATATATTAGTTTGGATAAATTTAAGTACAATTTAGCAATTGTTAAAAAGTTTTTTCCATCTGTTGTAATGTTAGTCCTCAAGGCAGATGATTTGCCTTCTCACTTTATTGTACAGTAAGGAACAAAATACTTATACATGTAAATATTTATTAGTTAAATAGTTTTGTCTTATATTAATGATTGAGGCACCAATGAAAATTCTTATTCTTTAAAAATCTTCAACATATATATTTTTTTCATATAGAGGTTCAGGATTTTAATGGAGTCAAGTCCTTCAAGCTATGAGAGAACCACCAATACTATGATCAAGTGCAAGGACAGCTTCATATAACTGGGAAATCCTTGTGTGATTTTATGGTCTGGACACCAAAAGACTGCGATTGTGAGAATTAACAAAGACATCAATTGGGAGATCAACATATCTGTTTTGACGGACTTTTATTTCTGTAAATTTCTCCCGTATTTACAACAGCTATAAGATATAACATTAAACATGGTGAAAAAATTTTAATTTTAATATCTTAGTTATCTACACTTGCAAAATTCTGAGCAATTTCCTGCATAAGGGGATCCTGAAAATTGACTAAAACACAGCATAATTGAAAGACTTTTGTAGAAATATATCTAAATTGCTGTGGAACATGCCTTAAAATTTCATAATTCTTAATACGCTCATTTGCTCTTTCAACATGTATGCACGACTTAGAAATTCTTCGACATAGTTGGACCTCACTGGGGGTGTATTGGGATTTAGATGTAAGAAAGGGAGGAATATTTAGATGTACTCCTTGGGGCAACAACTTAATTTGTGAATAGTGAACCCTTTGTCTGCTTAGATCATATCACCTGGAGATAACTGTTCTAAGACTTTACAATGTTCTACAATTGCAACATCAGATGTGCTGCCAGGGTACAATTTACTTATAAATACCAAAGCACCATTAGGTGCAACACCTGTAACACTTTTAACAGTGTGAGAATTTTTGTATCCGCTGTACTGTGCTGGCCTGCAATCTCATATCATTCCCTGGAACATCCTGGGTGATTTCTGTTGCATCAAGTACTATTCTACATGAACTGAAATCCCCAAAACTTGTAGGCATAGACCCCTTGCACTTCTGGAGAGAAGGAATGCGACTCTCTACGAGTCCTTCATATATTATTTCATGCAAAGCACAAATCTGCGAAGTTACAATGTTATTGACAGATGACGAACTCATGTTAAACCTCTCAGCAAGGTCCAAAAATGGGGTGTTCATTGTCAGTTTCGTTAAAGTCATCAACAATTGGTCAGTCAATGAAATGAAAGATGGTGTCCATCCATCAATATATACTTTATCTGGAACCTCTGCATCATTTCATAAGAAACATGTCAGGACGTACATGTAGACTTGTGTACATCAGCATCTATATTAAAACATGACATTAAAAACAGCGTCAAGAATATTTTTAGCCGGGCTTATTGCTCAAAGAGCAATTGCCGGCTTATGTGATTCTGTTGAAGGCAGGATGTTGACCCCATAGTCGCCATTTTAAAGTTACGTGCAAAAATATAGTTCTTACTCAACCGCTTTTGAGATAATACAAACGCTAAATAAAGCAACAAAAATAAAACGAAGTTTTATCTATATAAAATAAACATTAGTAGTAATGACTTTGAAAACTTCCTAAGTCAAAGAAAATAGTTTATTAGCGTAATGATTCTTGATAATCAGTGTTACCGTAGTTCTCTACACATACGAGGTAAAGCAGGAGAGGGAACCAGACTGACCTGTTTGTTTACATTCAGCTGCGGTACCAGATTAATTCTGATTCTGACAAAATTGGACCGTGGTATTAGGATTGAAAAACTCACTGTCAGTGTCTTATCATTTATATTGATAGTTTTAAAATAATTTTTTCATCAGAATATAAACGTGATTCATGTAAGAAATCCATTCTACTCTGTAAATTAGCCCGGCTCTCTGTACTTCTGAGTACTTTGATTAATAATGTGTTTCTAGTTTAGTAAATCTTGCTTAAAAATTCGAAAGCGGGGGTGGGCGCACACCCGAGGCACCGGCCCTGGATCTGCCTCTGATTAAGCGGCGTTCTTGCATTAGAAGTTTGCTGATGCTGCTCTCGGAAGTATTCGTTCAACGAAGCATAGGTATTGCTCGAAAATACACAAGTGTCGAATATAGTTGAAAATGTTGAAAAGTAGAAAGATGACAGGGAAAAATGAAACTTCATAACCCTGTCTAGTGCATGATTGTAAATAAACACACTGTATAGAGTATTTAAAATAAATCCATTTATTATTTCTTTTAAAAATTCTGCAATTGATGATCGTGATAACATTTTGTTAAAACATGATAATGATTACTTTGACGAGAAGAATATCTTCACAAGTCTTTCATATGAGGAATAAACATTATACGCAGTGTTCTATACGCTATATGTGGTACCATTATTATTTTAACATTTAAACCCCCCCCCCCCCGATTGCTACGTTCCTGTACTTGGCAGGGTTCTCCATGAGCTGTTTTACTGTGTTGCTCCCAACACAGTAAAATTTTCTCCGACACAGTAACGATTCAAATTTCATGCATGCGACACAGTAAAAATTTTGCCGACACATTAAGAGTTGTGATAATTAGAAAATCTAAACACACAAATTCTCTCTAACTGACACTTGAATCAAACAATTCTACCGTCTTTCAATTCAAAAAGTTATAATACTTAATTACTAGGGCTTCACCTTGAGTAATCAAACAAGTTGCCGGACTTTACGCATGCCTGAACAAAGACAAATAAATTGTTTTCACAATTCAATGTACCGGTTAATTGGTAGTTGCAATAAAATGCATTGTATTATTTATGAAAAATATTTAAATATGTCTTTCCTGTATAACCACGGCTCTATAATTAAGTAAGCACTGTAAGTCAAAAATAACATCGCGCCGAAGTCATTTAATTGATGCACATAAATTGCCGAAAATTTTGAAATTTCAGCATGTTCAAGGAACTCTTTTAAAATATGTTACTGTTCTGAAGTTCCTTTTTTTGTAATGCGGTAACTCTGCTACTCAGAACGTTTTTTTTCCCCTTTTATCAGTATGTACGACCATACCATTTGTGTAACGAATCAGCGATTTTTAAATAAGCGTGTGCTTGTAATCTTTTGTAGTTATAATGAATTGTGATTCAGTTGCGAATTTGTTCGTGAAAATATCGCGAAATATTAGTGCTTCGCGTAAACTCTGCAACACAGTAAAATTTCAAATGATGGAGAACCCTGACTTGGCTTTATATATACAGGTTGAGTAAAATATCAAATGCATAAAGAAATATCAAATGCATTAAGTTTGTGTAAATTATTAATGAATTTATTATTTTACAACATTATCAAAGTCAAACAATGAAACGTTACAATGTATCTAATTATTTACGTGTACCGCGATAAGCACACGGGTGCTGAACGGACACGCTGTCATTTTCACTTGTACATATACATGTACCTATAAGCTTGTTTATATCCGACGTTATAATTTCAAATTAAGTTATCTTTTATTAACAAAATATCAAAGCACTATCTGTAATATATTGTAAAATACATTTTTGTGAAATTCTCATCAATTAATATATAATTTACCACTTTATTTATGAACAATCAGAGGTGTTAAAATTCACAACGTCATTATGACGTTCCGTAAAATGTACGAAATTCGGCCATATACATATGCTATTTTAAAGACCTCTTACAGAAAATATGAAAGGGATATTGAAAAAAGAAAGTTGTTTTGAAAAAAATATATAGTCTGTAGATATATCCAGAGCAAAAATTGTCCTGTTTTGAAATCAGGCCAATTTGTGTACTTTTTGACTTAGGCTCTTTGATGATTTTGAAAAATTTTCTTCTTAGAAAGGGAAGTGGGGATACAAGTTGAAATAACAATTGCAGAATAATGTTCCAGTTCCTCTGACATATATAATTAATTTAATGGGCCATACAAACAAAGACAACGTTGCGGTTATGTCAGCTGGGGCCAGTATAACGGATCGATGAAACATATGCTGATAACAAATAGTATTCAAGATCAAAGTCCATAAAACAATGTAAAAAAAGAAGCAGAGCAAACACAGATGTCCAAAACATCAGAGGTGGGATCTTGAAAGTGCTATGGATGAGTAAGCATCCCCTGCCGACCGGTCACACCCACCATATGCTCCTTCTCATGATCCGTGAATAACAGAATAATCCGTCGTTAATTCAGAATATTATACTTTCATGTAAATTAGTTAAATCTGATTGGTAGAAACATTTGTTAAAAAACACTATTACCCGCTGAATAATGAAGCCACGCCCTCCAGCGTAGCAACAGTCAACATTGCTTGACGACGGGTGATATTCCAAAAAATAGCGACCGCGCAGAATTTATGCACGCACGGTTCACTATTATATGTATTTGTATAAAACATTGAGTATAATATAATAAATATTGAATGTAGTTGAGTGTAACATTGAAAATTTTCACCGAAAACCATTGTCAACCTCGGCTGCGCCTCGGTTGACAATGGTTTTCTTGGGGTGAAAATTTTCAATGTTACACTGAACTACATGCAATATTTATATAGTATAAATAATGGACTAAAAATTAGTATGAAAACGTCAGTCAGCATTTGACTCAATGATATTTTAATTGCTGACAAGGCCATTGTATCGACCATTGAACTTATGAAATGATGACTTTAAACGGGACTGCTAATATTCTTGTTTCATCAACTTGTTTGTAAATAATTTACCTCGTTTTAGAAATTTTACTTATGTAGAGCATGCTCTTGCGTATCGAATTAACTGAGATATATCAACTCCTCAGCTAGGTGATGAATGTATATTGCTGCATAAAAATGGAACTTGACGATTGAAAAGTCATAACGTTTATCATAGAACTTGGTTGTTAGATTACCATCAATGTTTTTTTTTTTTCAAGTAAAATATTCAAATATGAAACAGATGTGTCAGACTCTGTAATATCTTTTATCTCAAACTTACCAGGATATATCGTATCGACATAAGAATGGAAATAACAATTCTTAATTGACAATACGTCGTCGATATATCTAAATGTCGAGTTGAAGGCCACAGCAAGCGGTTTTTTTTCTTTTCTCGCATAAGATTTTGCACAAATTCTGCTTCATTTAAATACAAAAATAGGTCGAGTACTTTTTTTCCCTAATCTGAATTATTGATAACATAAGGCTAGATGAGTTTCATATTGCTCCTTGATCGCCTAATGAGAGATTTTTTTTTCATCCAACTAATACTTTTCCTCTATTCTGACAATGTTACAAAGTCTTTTTTTTCATGTTTGGCTCAACACTGGTATTTTACTTTTTGAAATGTTCCCAACAACCAGATGAAATTTGAATAAGCCTATATAGACGTATACTAATCCCTATAGAAATCCTTATAAACAGAGGTTCCAGTAAATTTAAATACTCGACGAAGCCTCTTTTTTAGGTCTATGCAAAAATAGAGAACCTTTATGAGGACTGTTAACAAAGTATAATAAAATTGGATGTGGATACTTAAAAACTACAAGGATCTCTATAAAAATGAAATCACAAGATTTTACCCCGGTATTAACAGACCTATTTTGCCATTTTATGAATTAGAATTCATTCAAGTTTCATGTTTAATTATTGTATTAGAAAAAGACTATTATGGTGACCGAACAACAAATAAACGTTGTGATGAACGTTTCTTTTTTTTCTATTTTCTCAATCATTTCAAGGAGCATACTGTCTGTGTGATCAGTTGAAAGGAGATACTTACTCCCCCAAGGCACCTGATTCCATTTCTGATGTTTTGAGAGATCAATCTTTTCCCTGCTCTCGATTGTTTCAAGGTGGTGGATTCTTTTGTGTATCTTGGATTACTTTTTAATTTTAATGAAAAATTATTGGTGACCCAGAAGCAATTAGCCTCTTAGGGACGTAAAGCTATGTTTGCTCATAAAGCATCCATCAGTAAATAATATTTAAACCACTTTACAACCATATCTCTTTTTGACACATATGTAAGCAGTATTTTGAATTATGGATGTGAAGTGTGGGGTCATCATAAGGGCCCGGATATTGGAAAAATTCATTTAGATTTTTTAAAGAATATACTAGGAGTGAAAAAGAATACAAACGTGATGCTATATTTTGAAACTGGTCGTATGCCTATGTATATTTCACGTATAAATAGACTGTTTAAAGACTGGTTTAAATTGTTACATACAAGCAATTGTATTTTGAAAGCGGCATGTTGTATTTTATATAGTGAGTGCGAGAATCCAAATTTTAGGGGTAAAAGTGTAGTATATATAAACACTTGATTAGTAACTTCTGTAAGTGTTTACAATATTATTTGGTGAAGCCTATTCCAAAAAATGTTTAAGAAATGTTATTTCTAAAATTCGTTTGTCCTCACACAACGTATTAATTGAAACTGGCGGGCACAAAAATATCCCAAGAGACCAAAGATTTTGTCTAATTTCTAAATCACATAAAGATTTAGAGGATGAATATAATTTTATACTTATATGTCCTAAATACTAGACCTGAGAAAAAAAATCATTAAGAAATATTATTTGAGTAACCCCACTGTGTTTAAATTTATAAATGGTCATTGGTGTTAATAATGTCAAAGAACTCTGTAACCTTTGAAAATATATCTTAAAAGCTTTTGAAATAAGGAACTGCCAATAATTAACATCTATGTCATACAGAAACTTTACATGCATATTGTACTTGTTACATTTGTAAATCTGTAAAGGTATTATTATTGTTGTATAATCCCTGTCATACATGCAATATCATTTTTACTTTTTTCTTTCATATGAACAACCGTTCATTTCCAATGTAAATATTGTTGTACATTTTGTAATATGCCATAGGATAATTATCCTGAGCAATAAATAAATCACAATTACAATGGATATTTAAGTTTGTTTGCTGTTCGTTATCTTAACATTACCCTTTTACGGTAGTTCGGTTGGTAGAGCGCTCGCTCCGTGATCGAGAGGTCGTGGGTTCTAACCTTTGCCGCAACTGACCTAAATTTATTTAAAAAAAAAAGGGGGGGGTAGCAACTGTTTCGCTCGGCACATTGAAATGAACGTTGTGGGTCTTTCAGATGAGACCTTAAAAACTGAGGTTCTGTGTTTGAATTCGTTGGCGACATATAATCAATCAATCGGTTTTCAATTTTCAAAAAGAAATTAGGATCGAGTGCTATATTTAGTCAGATACTCATATAATAGGCTAATGTATGTTGTCATAAAAATACGTGAACATCTATATTTTCTTCAAAACACGAATTTTGCTATCCCCCCAAAGAAATTGTTTTCTTTGATGATTTTTGAGAAAAATGTTTTCATTTCAACGGTAACATTAGACTATTTAAAGTCAGAAAAAAAATTATCCGAAAAAGGACAAGAAACGATTGTTTTTAAATTAATTAACATCAGCGTGCTTTGTTTTTAATATTTTTTGGCAAGGTTAAAACCTTTCAATATACATGTATTAAAACAAAGTTGAAAGTTAGACAGGTTTAGTACTGAAGAGTCTTATTATTCAGGTATGTGACTTCAAAACTTAATAATCGATCTTTCATGTAATCGTCTCTTGATGTTTAAGTACACTTGAATAACTTTCAAGTATGAGAGTTGTCCTGTAAATCCTTTCTTCAACATTGTAACTGAGAAGAACTCAGAAGTTCTCGTACCTATCAATTTTACCGAAATTTTCAGTAAATAAAAAAAATACGTAATACCTATATACCTAATAACAGTTATTTAGGGTTTTTGCATTGAAAATTTTACTTAAAATTCGGTAAAATTGACAGGTACGCGAACACCTTTGGAGAAGGCTAAGAATTTTACTAAGTCATATAAGAAAAACTTTTAGCATTGCATAAACAGGTTTAATATTGCATGCATATGTTCGTAAAAAAATATATACATAAGCTAATGGAGTAAAAATAACAATTTACAAATCAAATATACAAATATAAACGCAGAATAGCACAGGGCATAAACGTTCGCCGATGACTCTTGCTCAGTGTTCATAGCTATTTATTTTAAATAGAAAATAGAACTAGCATCAGTCAATGACTCTGGTGTAAAAAAAAAATATCAGCAAGACTGTGCATGGTGAACGTGAATTCGGTAGATTTATAAAAATACAAAAGTTATTGCAATTATATGAATAGAATATGTGACACAATAAAAATACATGGCTATAAATATGCATTTACATTGACTTACTAATAAAACTGTTTACAGGTTTATTTTTTGCCCCATCTTGTTTTTGTCCTTTTAAACCTTAAAAAAAATTTGTCCCATTTTAAATTTGCTCAGACACTGTTAGTTTAAGGGACTCCGACCCTCAGCCAGGAAGCACAACTCTTTAATTTATAATTTAATTCCAAAAGTCTTTAAATGAAGCTTGAAAATTAAATTTTTCATGCAACAATTTTCATTATATGCCTCTCAATGTGCTTCAAGGTTCTTTAAACTTCTCAGAAAGGTCTAATTAAAAGTAGAAATTCTTATCCCAAAAAAGCATTTTAAGATATCAATGTTTATTAACATGATATGAAATTAGAAGTAATTTATGGAGCTTTGCAAAGAACATTGAAACACATTGATAATGAAAATTGTTGCATGAAAATATTTAATTTTCAAGCTTCATTTAAAGACTTTTTAAATTAAATTATAAATTAAAGAGTTGTCCTTCCTGGCTGAGGGTCGGAGTCCCTTAAAAGTCAAAGCGTTTTCTTTAAATTTGCCTCGTTTTTATTTGCTCGTTTAAAACGAAAAGGAAACTGGGGTGAAAGTCTTCCCTGTACACAGAAATATTATTTTTGACACTAACATCACAACCAAAATATTTATCACAGAAAGGTAAGATCTGTATTATATACTATCAGGTCACAGTTCATTCAAGGAACAGAAGCCCTAAGTTTCGGTCGTCTGGGATTCTTAAATTTACTGTCAAAACTGAACGAACCAGTTGGCGTACAAGTTATGCTAATCAGATGTTTCACATCCGGTCTTTTGAAGTATCCCAGGCAATGGCGATCATGTGACGCGTTGTACACGGGGATGATGTCCTTGTATTTTGTGCGTTTTCTTTCCGTAATAATGGCGTCATTGACAAACGTCTGCTCTCTAGCCCGAATTTCCTCCACTGTTGGAGTACGTTTACAGCGATACCTGTGGCTCAACTTGTTTAAGTTCCTAGCATTTTCCTGGCTTTGTTGCAATTCCTAAAAATAAAACATATAAAGACGCATTTTTAAAGATAAAAACATGAAAAATAAAAAAAATATCAATATATATAATCGGATGAAGATTTTAGAGACAGTTGCGAAGTGCTTCAGGGTTTAAATTTTGATGAACTATTCACAGAACCATGTACGGTTACAAAATACGCATGATCATTTACATTTATACGATTGTAAACTCATCTGCTGAGCCAGTATTTAGAAATGGCACTCAGTATATCATACAGTTAAAAGCTTCATTAAACAATTTAAATGACGACAAACGACTGGAATTAAAGTAACAGAAGTCACATAATTTAAATGGATTCACGGTTAAAATTTTAAAAATTCAATTTTCCTTTGATTTTTATGTAAAATTAATCAAGCAGTATAGTATTTAAAAATATTCTGAAAAATGTTAATTCCACAAAATACTTTAAAAACACTATTTGAAATATTCACTTAATCAATGCAAAAAAGTAATTTAAACCCCCAAAATTAAGCATTCAATAGCGTAACAAACAATAAGTAACAAACAAATTTAAAATGAATTCTCTTTGAATAAAAGATTACTTATTTAAAAAGCAAATTTTAAATCAAATTCATAAAATCAATCATCAATCTTATTTATTCATAAAACACATTCCACAGCCTTGGGAAATTCATGGAGAACCATGAAATTTAAAAATCGGATTTGTTTTTCAAATCCATTCAATCATCTATTCTAATTTTAAGTTCCAACAAAAATATTTGTCTGTTTCAGTGACTTCCATTCTGGTAGAAGATTCCGTTCCATTTACCCACGATAAAGCAAGTAAAATAAGTTCCAAGTTAAAAAGAATATCACTTATTGACGATGTAACCAAGATTTACCTTGTAATACCTTAGCGCATCCTCTACCTGTCCGCCTAAGTTTTTCCCGTACAAACTCTGTAATCGTTTGATTAGATAGTCGTGATTGCAAGGCAGTTTACTTGCTCTCTCGTTCTCTACTTCCCAAACTCTCAACGTCATAATGAATTATGAATGTCCAATCACTAGCGGTTGGGGGTTTTTATAACACAGGTGTTCTACCTTGACAACGCATTTGCTCCCTGAATGGGCTGCCATTTACTTAAATGGGAAACCAGTACTAGTAGTAAAAAATCTTATCGTTTTTTGATATATTCCAAATTTACCAGTATCATAAGCAAGAGCATGCTTTACTTTTAGTTTTCTGAGAGAAGAAAACTGAAGAGAAAATATATTGAACAGTTTTAAAATCGGGCATTTTTATATAAAAAAAATAATGAAAAATAGAGTACTCATTTAACAAATTTCTTGACGACAGTGTTGGAAATAGATACAAGACAAGTATAAATGTTTTTACTGTGTTTAATCTTATTCTATCAAACACAGCTGCTTCTTTCACAAGTCCTAATGGTCATCTGTGTACTCTACTTCAGATTCTGAGCTTTGTGTACCTCTATTGATGAAATAAACAAACTATTTGATAAATAAACTAACTAATTATACACATTCCAGGAAGTTGAGCACCTGTCTACAATATTTGATTGCCATACTCGAGTTATATATGCAAAACTACGCAATTAGAAAATTGTAACCATGAGTCCTTTCGAAAACTGAACATTTTGCGACCGGGGAGAAGGATTGAAAATCACAAAATCCTAAAATCTCTGAACTAGAATTATTTCCCATAGAAGTACACAGAACTAAATCCAAAGCAGAAAATTACACTCTGTATATTGAATTTTTATTCTTGCATATTAGCTCACTAATATATTATTAGTATGTATTGATTAGTTATTAATCATTAGTATATTATTATATATCACAAATATACTACATGTAGCTTACCTTAAGATGCGAATTCCTCTCCATCATGGCCTTTACGAATGGAGACTGGAAGTACGCCTGCGCATAGCGGTCCTGCATGGCGTTGTAGGGTGGTATGATAGGCTTTCTGCGGTTGGTAGTGAATTTTGTGTTGATTCCGTCGTTTATAAATCCTGATTCCATTTTTCTTCTCTTTTTCATCGAAGGAAAGGGTTTTACTTTGTCTTGGACAATTTCTCTTTTCCAAAGAGGACTGTTGAATGTAACCCAAGCCATCTTAACATTGAACTGAAAGAAGTTGTTTTACAATATGAATGTTTTTGTAATCTTGGAAACAGTTTCGTTGATTGATTCATTTTATTGAAAAGTGAATGATAAAAATTTTTGTTTTAAGAAAATATGTTGAAATTAAAGTTATAATAATATAAGTTCTCCCTTATTAATCAAATGACCATTGCATATAAAAACAGAAAGCATTAAACAGGTGTTATACATGTATGTTAAAGTGCAATCAGTCTTTTCTTGTACTTTAACATGCATACTGAAGCAGACACGATAATTGGTCGGAATCGATTCGAAGTGTCACAAGGGGATCACGGATTGCGTGAGTATGCAAATAAGTTTTTTTAAATGGATACCACCAATTCTCTATCATTAACGAGACATTCACAAATTATTAGGATTCTTCATTTCCAACTTATATTTTCATATTGATTTTTACAACTTCAGAGGAGCATCCAACAAGACATATTTAATTACTTTACTGCAATTTTTTGGGACGTAAATTTCTTCTGTACTCATTTTTAACTCTATTTTAGTGTTCTCGTCTTCTACTTTCCTTTTTCAATATTACGTTTTCCATCCCAAGCAATTTTGATAACCAAAATATGATCACAAAATTAGAAAAGAAATAGCTGTTTTTTTCTGATAAAAATATGTTATACATTTTTATGCAAAAAAATATTTTAAATTCGGCCACATTAATACTAGCATATTAAAGAGGATTCTGTTAAATGGTGTATCAAAATCTATTCCTTATATAGCCATGCAAGTGTTACATACCAATTGGGTCAAAACATTGAAATGTTTGACACTAAATGGAAGTAACATACGGTCCAAATTATTAAGATCAGGTGGATTATCTTTGATAAATTAAAATCGGCAATTTTTTCATACCAGAATAAAGAGAAGAATGCTTCATGATTTTTCACATTAATCTTCTTATAAACAAGTATTGCATAGTAAAAGCGTAAAACTGTGAAATTGAAATGTTTGACAGTGAGACAGATGGAAGTAACATTGCTGACCAAACTGTTGACTTCATGTGGATTATCTTTGATGTATAAGACCCATCAAGATCTTAAATGTTTTTCTGGAGTATTTTCCAGAGTTTTGTTCTCAAGAGCTATGAAAGTATTTCAGGGTTTGTTTAGTAAATGGGTAAGTTGTGTACAAAAGAAGGGAACGTGCAATCAGAGCAAAACACAACTCCGAAAGAGTGGTGTTATACACGGAATTAGTGCCCCCTTTTCCTGGGGAAGAGTTCTCAGTTACTGTTGTTTTAATCCAGCTAATGGCACTTGAACAGACAGGGATGAAAACTTAACGCCAAGCATTCCGAATACCAGCTGGTGGCCTTAGGGTTCAAAATAAACGGGAATGCATATACATATTTAAAGGATTTTTATCATATTCTCTCTCTCTTACGATTAAAATGTTCCTTGGTAATTTAAAGTTCAAAAAATTATTTGATATCAATGTGAAATATGAAGTTAGTCCTCAATAAATCTTAGCGTAGATCCAAAGCAACTCAAAACTCAAAAGGTTAAGTAAATATTTCTCTCCGATAATTTGTATATCTTATCTTTGTCCTTATATGCAAGTGTTTTTTAAATTTTCAAAATATTGATTAATATTAAGACACATCATAATTTAAAGGTTAAAATCATAAAGAACAAGAAATGATTAAGAAGGCTTTGTTGCAAGTTTGATGATTTCTATTTTGTAGCCTAATTGTAAGTGCCTTACAAGTTAAACTATTTCCTACATTCTGATTGCATTCATTACAATAGATAATATTTGTCGGAAGTTTTACAACGAAGATATCCACAATGGATTTTATGTTGGGAAGTAAGAAAACAACTTCAGGCACAACTAAAATCAACGGAGACCCATAAGTATCCATTAATTCTATATAGTGTATCCCTTTCTTCAAATTATAAATGCTCTGAATAATAAATGTGGAAGAGAAATATGAAGATTTATCCCTTTTTTATTCTTTAGTAAATAATAGTTCTACATTCATTTTTGAGGTCGTTTGAATTTATCTGATTTATATGCTTTTCATTTCTTTCATTCTTAAATGGGTAAAACGGTTACTTTTTTCCTTCACTGATCGAAGTATTCTTTTTCCAGTAAATCTTTTTAAATTAAAGACCAACGTCATCAGCTATCACACGTTTTAAAATTAAGAGTATACATTATGGAAGTGTTTATCACTTAGTGTCCCAACTTACACAAAAAATTATTTTTAAGCTGAACTCTTTTCTATCCCATAATCCCCCTTGGATTATCTTTGTCAGACCCAGTACAATGCGAGGAGCTCTTTATTATGTAATTCTCATTGAAGTTTCGATTATATATCATGGGCAATTTTAATTTGAAAGAGTCTTCTTGAAATTGTCTCTTTTTCGATAGATGTTCCTAAAAAATTATCTCAACATCACTTAATATTTGAAAAAAACTATTCGTTTTCTTTTGTAAATGACGAAAACATTTCGATCTCCCCGTCAAATTAGATATTTGCAAATCAAAGTACTATTGATTTTCCTCTGTAATTTTTCTGAAGTCCAAATGAACAACTATACGATAAATAAACTTCATTAATAACAAAAGTTAAAACTAACACATCATTCAAGAGCACCGTGTATGGTTCAGAGAAAATTAGCTATTGTTTTATTGACACAAATATTACTGTTTGTTGTGGAACCAATTAAGAACGAATGAACTGTCTTACCTGAATTCCCACTGCGTTATTTTGACTCCTTGCAAGAATCTGGGGGACACCGCCACGTTCAACTGGGTGCTTGTTTGAAATGGTTCAAATTGCCTAGTGTAGCAACTGATATATGAAGAAATATTCAACTTAATTGACAACCAAGTGATTAAAGAAATCTTTTTTCTTAATATTTTCCTGTACATATAATATTACATTAAAATTTCTCAGACCTAATATTTTTTTTACTCTTATTGTAAATGGTGTTAGCAAACTTATAATTTTGTAAGATATGGAAATAACGAAGATTCAATTTTTGATTGAGCTTATCAATACCTTACCTTTTCTTTATCTGCATGTAATGTACTGAAAGAGGTTTTAATTCGAGTTATCGACTGAAAGTAACGAGTTTTAAACACATTTTGTCAAATGTCATCGTTTAATCTGAAAAGAAAATAGTTATTGGTCACATAACGTTCTCCGATACGTCCGAGAAGCTAATATTGATACCCCTAATCCCTTAACGGGTAGTAGTTCAATATAAAGTTGATAGTTTATAAACATATTTTGATCTTCCAGTGTGTTGGTTAAATTACCCTTCATTTAACTTGTATTTTAACATATTTTAAAGAACCTTTCTAAAGGGGAAATAGGAGAAGTTTCCAAAACAAGATTTTTAATTGTTATTTTCTGTTATAGTATTGTTTAGATTTGTATAAAAAGTTTATAAGTTCATAAAATTTTATTTAACGAATTGATAACCCTCGGTGAATGGTGTAAAGAGGGGAAGATCCAAGTTCGTTATTGGTCAATATCGACCCTGTCATTGATATTTTTTCACAAGATGTCTAAAATGTTTATTCCCTAGACAGTTTAAATATCAATCATCTCGATATCTCTTTATTTATCTATTCATTTTTTAGCTCATCTGAGCCAAAAGCTCAAGTGAGCTATTCTGATCAAAATTTGTCCGTCGTCTGTCGTCGTTCACTGAAAGAAAAACCTAGTGAATTTAACTAGTGTGCCTCGTAAAGCGTTAGTCGTGATTAGTAAACTTTCATTTTACTGGTTAAGATAGTGAGTTGTGGAGCGGAGGTCGTATAGATATTTAGATACCTAATGAAAGTTACTTATATCAATTCTAAATTTACTGATCTTATTTAGTAAATATACCTAATATCTAGTAAAACTACTTTTAAGGTAGTGATTGTATGGACAGTAAATTTACTAGTTTTCTTCGTGACTTTAGTTATTTTTTTACAGTGTTGTCGTAGTCGTTGTAAACTTATTACATTTTCATCTTCTTCTGAAGAACCACTAGGTCAATTTCAACCAAACTTGACACAAAGTATCCTTGGGTGAAGGGAATTCAAGTTCATTCAAATGAAGGGCCACACCCTCCCCCACGGGGAGAAAATTATGAATTTGTGAAAAATTAATGGCATTTTTAAAAAATCTTTTCTCAAGAGCCACTGGGCCAGGAAAGATGAAACTCATGTGGAATGTATCCTCAGGTAATGTAGATTTATGTTTGTTCAAATCATGCCGTAAAAAGAAAAAAAAGACGTTTCTACATTCAATCTTGTTTTTGGAGAGAGCTCAATTAGTGACTCTCCTTTTGTGAAGAACCTTGGAGCCTTTTTCGACCAGACTCTAAGTATGGAGAAAAACTGCAGTTCAATAGTTAGAACATGCTTCAATAATATCCGGAAAATCGGTCGCATCCGTCCGTACATCACAGACGACGCATGTAAAACTTTGATAAATTCACTTGTGACTTCCCGACTCGATTATGCAAACTCGTTAATGCATGGCATAAATAAGCAACTTGTGAATAAACTGCAAAAAGTCCAAAATACTGCTGCGCGGCTGATAACTCGTACCAGGAAATCTGATCACGTGACCCCAATCTTGAAAGATCTCCACTGGCTCCCTGTCCAATACAGAAGTCAATATAAAATACTTCTGTTTGTATACAATGCATTGAACAATCGTGCTCCAAATTACTTGTCCGAGCTTCTCAAAATATACTCTCCTTCCAGGTCCTTGCGTTCACAGTGTTCTTTTCTTTTGGATGTTCCTAAAGTTAGAACTGTTACGTACGGCAGTCGTCGATTTGACTACGCCGCCGCCTCACTATGGAATTCTCTTCCTCTGTGTCTTAAAAATTCCAAATCTGTTTCCGCTTTTAAAAAAGGACTTAAAACTCACCTCTTTGAACGAGCTTACGAGGGAATGTAAATATAGTTTTTATAGTGATATATATACTTAATGTAAAAGGACACTGA